CTCCTGTGAACCAAAATTCAGCAAATAGCAGGCTATTGCCCACTATATGCTGACAGAGCAGAGCTGCATTGCAGCCAGGAAAGATCCAGACAATATTGTTGGGACCCACCACACTACCTGATTAAAGGCTGGTTCTGCCACTCTAGAGACAGAGCCAGCTGTGTCCACCCCCTCCTCTGTCTGTCCCTTCAGCCAGCGCTGGAGGAACAGAGAGGGGAGAGTGGAATCAATGCGGTCACCACTGATAGTCACCACTTTCTGCAGGGAGAAGATCATGAAATCACAAATCATAAATCGCTGATTACTCAGTTCTTAATCTATACTGAGGGGATGAGTGCATTTCACTCATTTAACCAAGATTAACCGGGACAAATTCATTCTGGAGTAAAATAATGTCAGTTTAAACTTTTAATTTTCCTTCACCGTTTTTTTTGTTTTTTTGTTTTTGCAAGTTTCGTCTGAGCTATACCAATTAGACTGATAAAGCAGCAGAAACTTTTCTTCAAATAAACTGCACTTCACCCAATTCTCTTTAGACTATTTACTTTTACTTTTCTGGTTGAATGTCCTATTGTTTTATCCTATTTTCTCACCTAGTCATATGGTCTTAACGTGACACTAAACTTAAAAATGCATTCAAGTGCCTAACTATTAAAAAAAGTATATTTTTTGTGCTTTACTCAGCTGTAGATCATCAAATCGGATATGAATTCATGCTGACACTGTCCTTCCGTCTGGAGGGTGGCTACTTTTGTTCCCCATGGTCCCTGTGTGTGTGTTGTAAAGTAGCCAACGCTTCAAGCTTGCCCCCGTGATGGACTACAAGCTCAATACAATTTAGTAGGGATGCACCGATACTACTTTTTTAAGACCAAGTAAGAGTATGGATACTTTTGATCAAGTACTCGCCGATACCAATTACCGATACTTTTTCTTAAAGGACCAGGTCACATTTTTTCTAAAGTAATACAAACTAATGATTTTAGGTCAGTTTCTTACTATTATGATTCATGAGATGATGAGGGAGCATGATGCCGGCTTCCCGGCCAATCAGAATGCTGGGCGCTGCGTCATTACACGGCACCCGGCTTCCGGATTGGCTAGCTTTCTGACCAATCGGGAAACCGGGCAGCGCGTCATTACACGCTACCCGGCTTCCTGATTTGCTGGGAAGTCGGCTCCATGCTCTCTCATCACAAGTGACGAGAGAGCATGGAGCAGTTTCCCGGCCAATAAGGAAACCGGGCAGCGTGTAATGACGAGCTGCCCGGCTTCTTAATACAGGAAGTACTCGTGCTAGGTATTGGAGCATTTGGGCGAGTACAAGTATCCCTACAATTTAGTAAACTAGACCTGAGATTGTAGTCCATCATAGGAGCCAGCTTGGAGCGGTGGCCACTTTACTGTATAACTGTGTGTTGTAAAGTAGCCACCTCTCCAAGCTCACTATTGTGATGAACTACAACAGCTGGGTGGAGCCAGCCGTGATCTTA